TTATAGTTTCCAATACAATTTCATTTCCTTTTCAATTTATGTATATGAATCTCATTTGCTTAATTTGATTTCTTATAGAATAGAATTGATTTATTTTGATCGATGTATCTTCCTTACTGTAATCACAATAGCATAGCTTTTTCATTATTCCACATTATCCTTAAACATATGCTTAATTTGGAAAATAGGAACCTAAATCATATAGTTTAAATTATGCTTGTTATTGATTATGTAATAGAAAAGGAATAGAATCCTCTTAGGGCGTTGGAATTATACTAATCAATGATAAGTTAGAAATCGAATCCATAGATCAGCTCGTTAATTTTATTCATAATATAATTCTCTAAATCAAAATCATAATCGAAACCTTAAATCCCCTTTGTTTCAATCAGTTAGTTAAAATAATTCAAGAGTCTTTGCGATACAATTCGAGTGTCTCTTTCTTATACTACCCTTTAGTAACTCGTTTTTGACCCGTGTGTGACAGCAGATCAATCTTATTTCAAAGAACTCTAGGAAATTATGGTATGTATGTGTTCTTCAATCTTCTGTTGACACCAACACCTACTGCCAACTCTATTTTTATTATAGATGCTACTGTTAGTTTTAGTTTAAATAAGGGTAATAGTACCTATGTGCTGTGGCACAATAGGCTTGGTAATCCTTGCATTGGAATTCAAAAGAAGGTTCTACATAATTGTAATATTCTATTCAGTAATAAAGGAATGTTGGACTTCTTCTCTTCTTGTTGTCTAGGGAAATCTCACAAACTTCCCTATCACTCATCAACCACACAGTACACTTCACCACTTACACTAATTCTTAGTGACTTATGGGGGTAAACCTCCTTCACTTCCACAAATGAATTTCATTATTATATCTGCTTTTGTGGATATACTTATATGATTCACTTGGATTTACCTCCATAAAAGAAAGTCTGAAGCAATCACCACTTTATAAATTAAAAACATCAGTGGAACTTCAATTTTCTTCCAAAATTAAGGAAGTTCAAACTGTCTGGGGGGAGACTTTTTTCATTTAATAAACTGCTTCAAACATTTGGTATTCACTATAGATTAATTTTGCCTCATACTCATCATTAAAATGGAACCGTAGAGAGAAAACATATGCACGTTGTGGAAGTATGCCTTACACTTCTATCTCAAGCATCCCTAACATTTCAATATTAGGATGCTGCCTTTGGAACAAGTGTGCATCTTATCAATAAACTCTATTTTTTCTCTTGAGTTTGAGGTTCCTTACATCAGGATATTTTGTACACCACCATATTATTCATTTCTCAAAACTTTTGGCTGCTACTTTTATCCTCCACTCAGACCTTACAAAAAACATAAGTTACAAATCAGGTCTCTAGAGTGCCTTTTCTTAGGGTACTGCTCCTCTGACAAAGGCTACAAATGCCTTGCTCATGATGGTAGACCTATATTTCCATATATGTTATCTTCAATGCGTAGAGTTTTCCTTACACCTACCTATTCTCTAAATCCAATACCTATGTCTTTCAATCCAGTCCACATCTCTCCGCCCTCATTCCATCAATCACTCAAAACCTAGAACGAAACACAAGTTTGCAAACGATGAATCTGTCAGATAAAACTCTAGAATCCACCAAAAAGCGAAAACTATTGAATTTTAATATGATAAAAGATAACTTTGACGGTCACACTAAAGAATGTTTAAATACTAAAAAGAAATCTTAATGCAAAAACATTCATAAACTGAAATAAAACGGAAATTGCTAAAATTCTGGAAAATAAAAGGTAAATTGTTAAAATTGTGGAAAATAAAACTGAAATTGCTAAACTTGCACAAATCCTACCTAACATTTCTGACACGCGACTTCATATTTGACACTTATTTGACACGTGCATCTACCCTTTCTAAATCAAAATCATTCACATTAGAACCCAACAACTTTCTCCGCATAAGAATAAATTATTATTAATATTATTTTTATTTTATTGAATAGTCTAATGATTATAATATCACATATCTTAAAGATAAATAAATAGGATCGAATTTAAACCAGCACACTTCTGTAATCAATCAGATATTTTTGTTTGATTACTAATTAAAGTGATTTAATGAAAGATATTACTATACTTACTAATAAATAAGTTTAAAAAGATGTGGAAGTATAGTTGGAACTGAATAATTGAGAAAAATGTTGTTAAAACGGTGTCTAAGAGTAGCATCATTTTCCCTTAAAATTTCATATAGAAAAAGAGAATGAGAGTATCTAAATCTTATCATTGTTTATTTTTTAAAAACCTAATCTCATGATCATCGATCACATGGAAATAGTGCTTACTTGTGCTCGTGAACCTGTATGCATGCATCCAAATCATTATAATAATAGTAATTAGAGCATTTTTATTATGAATGCATAATGAATAGACGGCCACAACAATTGAGATGCAAAAGCGGAAAGTCCTGGAGCCGTTTTTTGATTTGTCATGAAGCAAACCCAACACAGAGTTTTGGATTAATTTTTGTTTTTACTTTCACCTGCACTTTCACGTTGGACAAATTAGAGCAATAAATATGGGATTTGATATTTTATCTTTTAAAGTAAGTAGAAGAAAAGGAATCTCACATGATGGCATTGAAAGTAGTATAACTTGGGTGACAAAGCATAGTCATTTTGTGATGTGTATCTCTAAAATTGAAGACTCAATATATATATATATATATATATATATATATATATATATATATATATATATATATATATATATATATATATATATATATATATATATATATATATATATATATATATATATATATATATATATATATATATATATGGATCAGCGCCAGAGCCTTGGTTTCTTTAACTTACGAGTTCCTTTCATGAGTCATCTTCAGGGATTCAAGTATATCAAAGGCAGTTATTTTCTCATACTCAGTATGAGATATAGTATTTAGCAAGATAGTTCTAGCCTTGTGGTGATTTCTGAATTCTTTCTTTTGCGCCTCAGTCATTGATTTTCTGTCAATTTTCTTACCATTCCCATCAATAGGATGAACATATCCATCAATAACTAAGTCCCAAAGATCAGCATCAAATCCTAGAAAGAAACTTTCTAGTCTATCTTTCCAATAGTCAATTTTCTCTCCATCAAACATGAGAGGTTTTGTGCTGACTCTTTCTTCATATTTGTTGTTGCTGGATGTTGAAGTTTCAGCAGCCATAATGTATATCAACCAAGAATATCAAGAGTTTTTCCCACTTGATCTTTTCTGGTCACGGTTAAGTGATAGCACAAACAGAACCGGAGCTCTGATGCCAACTGAAGGTGAGAAAAACACTTAGGGGGGGGGGGGTTGAATAAGAGTTTTAAAATAATATGACAATAAAAACAACTTAAGATTTTTATTCTGGTTCGTTGAACTCAACTACTCCAGTCCACCTAGATGATTTGCCTTTCTCCACAAGGACTTAATCCACTATTAATCAACTGATTACAATAGCAAGCACTAAGAACTACTGTCTTAGTCTTCTCAAGAACTACTGACTACACCTTGGTCTTTTTAAGGAACTTCTTACAAATTAATGTAAACTAACAAGTGTTTTAAATGCTTCTAATAAGCTGTATCACAACTGTGATATTTACACTTAAGATTAAGTACAAATAAAACTATACAGTTTTATGAAAGAACAAATGTATAAGATCTTTGAGAGATTTTACTTTGATGCTTCAATCGTGTGTATGAATATTTCTTTCTGAATGAGAAAGAATGAGCAACTTCTAAATGTTGTAGAAGTTCTCCTTTTATAACTTTTTCCAATTGCTTTGAGTAATGTGCAGCTGAGTATTATATTAGAAATATAAGACTTTTCATCACCAAAAGGTATGGGCAGAGACATGCTTTCTGCAGGAAAAATATGGTTGTAGAAGCATTTGGATTTGTACCACGTCTCTTCATTGGACAAAATAGTCGTTGGTTACTTTGGAAGTAACACCACGTCCAATCAAATTTACAGCTTCTTCAACAAGCTTCCTTCAGGATGAAGTCTTCATAATATGCACTTCAGAACTTGTAGTAAGCTTAAAAGGAATGAAATATTTAAGATGATCAGAGCTAAAATGTTTGAGATGATCAGAGCTTTGGTAGATGATCAGAACTTGATATATCAGAGTCTCAATTTTGATCAGAGTCTTCATCAGAGTTTGCAGCAGTATGTGCTTGAGCGTGTATATATTATTTGATTAGAGTCTGATGATCAGAGCTTTCAACAATTCTTTCAGCAACGCTTCAGATCATTCTGCAGCTTCTACTTCAGATTCACCATAAAACTAACTCAACTTACCCTGTTTTGATAGGTTTCGAAGATGCATCTCCGTAAACCTTAAACGAAGATGTATCTCCAGATCAACGAATGTTTAAAATAGACATTTTAGAAAGGAATACATAAGGGACATTTTGAAAATTTTACGAGATGTATCTTCATATTAGTTAACGTTTTGGCTTAAGATAATATACGTTCGTAAAAACATCTCTAAAATTTAAAAAGTCATTTTAAATTTTTCATAAAATATTTTTCCACTCTATAATAAAAAAATTCCCTAATATTTAATAGTAAGTCCTCAATAAAAATACCAAACTTAAAAACTCTCATTTGCCATTTTCCTCTCAACTACCAGATACACCAAACAAGTGGTAGGTTCCCACAAAGATTCCACATTTGATTGACCTTGTCCACAAATAATTCTCATCACATTTTGGAAGAAATTCATGTTACCTTCTAACCCCTCTTTGCTTTTGTTTTAGTCTCTCTCACTCCCAACCAATACGGCAGAAACTATATAGAATGTGTAACTTATTATTCACCCTGCAATCTTACAATTTTTATATTCACTCTTTAGATCTAGATTCTCTGCTTTCATAATACTATACTATACATTTACTACATTTCAAGTGGAACAAAATATCATATTTGACACAAGTATTTCTTTAACTCAGTAGCAGCCATGGATTGGTTTTCATGGCTTTCAAAAACAAGCCTTGATCCATCTCTTGTATATGAGTATGCACTTATCTTAGCTCACAACGAGCTCGAAGAAGAAGACATGTTTTACTTCAACCATGAGTTTCTCCAAAGCATGGGAATCTCTATAGCCAAACACAGACTAGAAATTCTCAAGCTTGCTATAAAAGACAAGAGAAAGTTCCCACACACAGTTGCAAAGTTTGTGGCTGCAATCAAAAGGACAAAGAAGTACTTAGCAAACTATGTTAGGACTTTGACTCATACTGAAGAATCAGCAGCACTTGTGGTGATGCCAAAAACAAGGTCTAGTGGTGGATTAGGGAGAAGATGGAAGAGTGGAATTATGAAGAGGAACAAAAAATATGTGGTGGCTAAAAAAGAGAAACTGTTTCTCACAAATGGTATAGTTCCTGTTCCTGCTTTGTCTGGTGATCTTGATGGTTATGCTAGTCCTGTTGTGTATCATTTCCAAAAGGAGCAAAAGATCGACGGCGGTAGCGATGGTGGTGGCGATGGATATTGGTCTGCTGCTGTTGAAGAGATTAAGTGGGATACCATGTTTAAGGATCTAAAGCCAAACTAAAAGTTTCTCCGAATTTGGATCCTCTCCTGTTAGATCATGTACAATTGAAGTATGGTGTTGTGTACATGTAGAGGATCCAATTACTTTCAACCATTCTCTCTATCTCTCTCTCTCTATCTCTCTCTCTCTTACTTTCTTTTATTCTCTTTGTCTGTCTCCACTCTTTACCACTCTTTGTGCTTGAAAGAAAGACAGTGAAGTAGTGAGGTAGATATTTAGTTTTGTGGCAAAAAGTATGTAATTTGAGTCTACTGGACTTGAGTTTATGTATTGTACTATCTCAGATTTAGTGACAGTACATATTTACACAGTGTCTTGGTGTTTATGTCAGACAATAATTAAGCCTTTTATCTGAATCATCAAATTATTATGTTTATTTCATTTAGCTAGCAAGATCCTTGGGGTAGATACATGGTGTCTGCAGAATCCGAGACTATGGTGTAACTGCAGAATCTGCTTTATTTTATTTTAAATTAAACTAAATGTATGCCTATGAAACACCGATAGAGACACCGCGCATGATATTGACATTAATATGTTGACACTGTTAATAGTTTGGGTAAATAAATTGATTGAAGATAATCACATGTGTTGGTTCTGTGTCAATCAAAAGCGTTAGTGTTACGGAAATGCATCTTTGCTTTGTTATTATTTGTTGTTTGCAGCAGAAGAAAAGTAAAATTTAATAACTAAATTAAACATTAGAAAACAAGAAAGGAAAGAGGAATCAGCTCAATGTGGACCAGTCCAAAATTTAATTGGAGCATTCTATACAAAAACCTCGAATGAACATGTTGTGAATACAAAGCATAAACTGCAATATTGGTAAACTATGGATCATATTCTTTACAGTCCCAAAAAGAGCAAAATATTTATTGTTTCCCATATTTACAAAACCCAGGGACCGCCGAGAATTCGTTATTTTTCAGTAGTAGCACATGAAAACCATAATAAATATGCTTAGAGTAGTTTCCATATGGTTATTGAATAGTGGCTGCAGAAATTTGGTGAGCTTTGTACTTGGCAGACAATTTTGTCAAAACTCATTGATTTGAAGTACGCGATAGACAAAATGAACCGCTTGCGTACAGCATTTGATATACCGGCCTTATTCTAACTGTCAAAATTATATTCAAAATGGTACCAATTCCACAGACACAAGCCAAAACCATAAAAGTGATTCTGAAGCAATTTGCACCATAGCAAGTGGAGTTTCCTTGTTTTGCCGCTTCTGTATCATACAAATTTCCAGCAAGGAGAACAGAAAAAAGAAGTGCACCAATTGGATTTCCAAGCATCATGAAGCTGCTAATTACACCAAAGTGCTTCAAACCAAATAGCTCAGAAACTGTTGCAACCATTATAGAATACTGAACTCCATAGCACATTCCAAGTAAAGCTGTTGCAGCATAAAGAGTTCCCTCTAGAGCTGAAGCATAAAGCAAAAATGCTATGATCATAATTACTTGTGTAATTGCCATCCAAAATGTTCTAGGCAGTGTTTTCAACCTGTCATGATGATAACCTCGTCAATATATGCGCACGCTAAGTATAATATAATTCAAATTGTAGTAGTCATTCAGTTCATAAATGGAGAAAGTACCTAACAAAGTGTTCAGAGACAGCGCCAGCACCGAGACGACCGATAAAATTGCAAAAACTGAAGACTGAAAGCAATATGGTTGTATCTTCTACACCCAGAGATGTTCCAATTTGAGCCAAATTATTGAGAACAGTTATCCCCGAACCAACGCCTAAAGAATAAGCAAACCAAAGTAACCAGAAATCAGCCTTGACTATAGCTTCTTTGAACTTAAAATCATCTCCTCTTTTTGGTCTCCTTTTCTTCCTCACCGCCCCTTCCCCTTCTGCAATTAGTATCTCAACATCCGAAGAAGTATCATCATTTTCATGAAAACTTCCAACATACGCAGCTGAAGTGGATGAAGATGCAATCAGTGGACTTGTTTGTGTTGAAATTGAAACATCACTTCCAACTATTGGAACATTGTTTTGTTGTCTTGCAGGAAATAGAGTCATTTTCAAGGGAATTGCTAGGGGCGTTATTATAAGAATGATCATTATGGACACTAAGATGTAGGAAACAGAATCATTGATCGAAACCGCGTCACTTAGTATTGTGGTTATAACTAGATAAGTAGCAAGTAAAATACTTGAAGCTTGTGTGAAAATAAAATGGACATGAACAGAAGAGTCTTCACCAGAAGGAGGAGTACAAGGCCTAATGAAGTACATCAAAACTAAACACACAGTAGAAACTCCAATTGCTAGAAACAAGAGTAAATTAGAAGCAGAACCTTTTAGCAATAAGCTATATATTAATGTATATACTGATGCACTAATTCCTATATAACCTTTAAGAATGCCAGAGATTGTGCCTCTACTAAGAGGAAAGTTCCTCATGTTGGTAACAAGCACGGCTGTCCCGAACCATGCACCGCTGTTCGTGGCAACACAAAGTGCAAGCCATAACTGCAAAGTCAAGATAACCAAGTTGATTTTAAGCCTATGCATGTAACATAGAAACTAGGAAGAATTTGTGACAGAATAGTTACCAGAAGATATGGCAAGTTGGAAACAGTTTGGGTAACAGCAAGCCAGATGACACCATAACCGAAGAAACAAAGGAGAGAACCAACAAGAAGCAAAGCCCAAGGAGGGAACTTGTTGCAGGCAATACCAGGAAATAAACTGAGATTCTCTCCAACATCATTGGCCACTCCTAGAATGGTCACTTGTTGTTGATTGAGACCCAACACAGATTTGAGAGCAGATGAGTAGAGAGGGAAGTTGTAGGCATTACCAGCAGCTATTTGAATCCAAACTGCAGCAGCTAGTCCCACCCATGGAGGTCTGCTTCCAGCTTTCAGAATCAGCCTTGCCATTTTGCTACCAAAGTTAAAGTTCTTACTCTCTCTTTAAACTATCTTGGCTTTTGCCTAATAGCCCAAATGAATTATGTTTTTCTGTTGAGAAAAGGAAAGAAACAACCGCACTATGAAGCAAGTCAAAACAGACAATGAATCAGTTAGAACAATGGCATGTATCAATGTATAGATAACTTTTGGATCACAAAAAACAGTGTAAAGTGAAATTTCAAGTGTTGTATAGTTCTTTGTAGTTTCCATTTTGGTCTTAGTTTTTCTACATTTGCATGTCACCATCATCATCATCATGCCTATGATCGGTCAGTATTACCAAACAGTCAAAATCTAACTTTCCTTTCACAAACCTATGACTTTTTATAAAATGTCATTATGTTCTGTCTTTGGATCGCTAGTCCTAATATGGGTGTTATTAAGAGTTTCACGTTAGAAAATAAAGTATACCAAACTTCTGATTTCTACTTCAGAAACTACACCAAAGTTTTCTTTTACTAGAGTCATAAAAAACTAAATAAAGTACTATGTTGGTTCCTTGCATTTTTCTTTATTTCAAGATTTCTAGAAAGTTATGGCATTAATATTGATGGTGTTGCTCTTGATATCTCATAGATGGTTACGTGTGATGATATCTTTCGTAATAGCTCTACAGTCATTTTTGATTGTTTTGCTAATCGTTTAAATATTACTTATGTTTTCATGCCGAAATTTTTGGCTGTTGACGACCATTGAAATTTTTTATTTTAGAGGTTGACATTTATTGTGGTTAGAGACTTGCTTTCCGATGATTACTCTTGCTTTCAAAAATTCTTTCATCATTCCATAGCACCTAAAAATGAGATGGATAAATTATGTTAAATTTACTAAAAAGATTACTTTCGTTATCTCTCGTATTTATTGTAAAAGTAATCGGTGTGATAATGATATTGTTAATATTGATTTACATATATTGGTTTATATATTCAGGACAGCTAATGGTGGGATACTATTGCTCCTGATATTTGTCATGTTTATTTTTTGAAATAAAATTAATTTTTTAAATATATATTATGTTAAATTTTTATTAAGAATCTTTCATTCTTTTTTTTTCCACCTGATATTCCTTAATGTTTATGATATTACTGGACGATCAGAATCTGATATGGACCAAAAACGGGCGTTTGCGATGCTGAGTGTAAAAGAGGAGGAGGTGGTGTACCTCCAAGGCACTCCGATGCTAAAGTAAGAAAACGAGCAAGAGAGCGAGCAAGTACAATATATGTGTGTTTAGGTAAGAAATTGGATAACTAACCCTCTCAAGTGAAAGGGTTTTTATAGTGCCCTCAGCGCTTGGCCTTTGGTCCCTATTTTCAGGGCGAGATAATTGTTTCTCGAAGAATAGGTAACTGCCAGAAATAGCCGTTGAGATGGGCAGACGTGTCCATAACTAGTCGTTGTGACGGGCAGAGGCAGAGTTACAGGCACAAGTGTCTTGACTGTTCCTAAATGGTGGAACCGTGCGAGAGGGCAGAGACGGACGGGGAGTAGTGATGTGACCAAGGGTAAATAGGTCAGCTTCCCCTGTTAGAGGGGCAGAAAGGTAAATTCTCCCCTTACGAGGTTGGACTTAGGAAATTTGGGCCGTTCTGGGAGCAGAAGTGGATTGACCCATGCCTAGCCATTGGGCCAGTCCGGAACAGTAGCCCTCCAAGTCGTTGCTACCGGGCATGGTAGTGATGACTTAAGGGTGGTCTGCTCTCCGGGCAGAGTCGTCATACGTCTCCTTGTGTTTTGGTGACCACTTGCTCGTGGTCGTGATTCCGGGGATCTTGAGACCTGGGGAGCCCAACGGTTGATGGGATGTGAAGAGTGGGGATGCCACGTGTGCCTCGAGTCGTGTGCTGCATTAAATGCGAGATGATGGCTAGGCTAGGATCATGATGATGCTCTACGCGTAGGGCTGGAAATGAGTCGAGTCGAGTCGAACTCACCTCAGCTCGGCTCGGCTCGTTAAGAATTGTTCGAATTCGAGTTCGAGTTCGAGTTCGACACGAACTTTTTTTAAGCTTAAACTCGACTCGTTATAAGTTCACGAACAGTTCGGTTCGACTCGTTAGG